CACTGCCTGCGCCCCAGGCCCCAGCCAGAGCATAGCTGGAGGCCCAGGGCACGGTCACCTGCTGCTGACGCAGCAGCAAGCAGACAGCAAGGCATCTTGTCCTCACGAGGACCCAGTCCTGCCCACTCTCCCAGCCAGAAGGGGTCAGCTAGTGGGCCCCAGCCCCTCATTCCTCTTCCCAAAACTACCCCTGCCGCCAAAGCGCAGGGCCACCCTTCTCCCCAGGGAACCCACAACCAGGACCAGGGGGCTACAGACAAGAGTTGGCTTTATTCACGGACACGGGGGCAGCTGTGTCACTGGCAGCTGCCCTCGTATTGCACATCCAGCGACAGGGGCGGGGGGATATCCATGCCACGTCACAACACAGTGTCGGCACTACGGGACCTTGGGGGGGGCGCGGGCACCGTCACCACCCAGCAGGCTGGGGAGCGGGCTTGGGCGCCAAAGGGTTCACAAAGGCAAAAGACCCGTCCACCCATAGATAGAGAGATATATATAAAAAAAAATAGTTCCACGATGACCAGAGCAGAACCACAGGGACACGCGTGCAAGCAAAATGTACAGCAGCCCGCGAGCAGGTAAACATGCTTTGTACAGACACAGACACGCCGGGACGCAGCCAGGGTTTATGGCGCTGGGAGGGATACAGAGCGATAAACCCGGGCTTCACGGACACACGCACGCACGCACGCACACCAGCCCCTGCGGGCAGCGCCCACGGCTCGGGCACGCGCCGGGGCTCGGGGGCTTGGACATGGCGGGTTTTTCTCACTGCTAGACACGGTACGGAGACATGGACACGGTCCCTTGGAACGGAACTGGAGGAAGAACTTGTGAGCGAACGGGGCAGGGGCACCCCTGCTCCTCCCTGGCACGTGGGCACCAGCCGGGTCTGGCTGGGGAGGAGCAGGGGGCTACCGACGGTTCGTTGTGCTGCTGGTGGAAGAGGCGAGGACGGGGGTCCATTATGCCTCTGGCTCGTATTCCTGGTATTCCTCCTGTGGGGTGGGGAAAGAAAGAGCCAGTGAGAGAGCCCAGGTAGGGCACGGAGCCCCTGTCCCTGCCAGCCCCACACTAGCCTGCCCATGAGGCTGCAGGGCTGCGTGGACGGGGCACCTGGGAGCAGGCAGGCTCTGGGCTTTGCTCTGGACAGCGATGGCCACCAGTGCGCTGAGCACTGGCAGCCTGTGCCCTCCATGGTGCCCTGCACCCCCCTACCATCCCGTTCCCTCACCTGTGGGGGCTCCTCGTAGTTCTCCCCCTCTGGCTCCAGCAGCGGTTCAACCAGTGGCTCTTCAACAGCCTCCTGGGCCACCTCCTCTGGCTGGGGGTAAACCGGGGGGTCAGTCCCACGCACACAGCCCCCCATGTAGCACCCACCCTCCGTGCACCTGCCAGACCAGGGGGACCTGGTAGAGACCAGCAACGCACCCGGGATACTGGGGTCTCCACGTGGGGGGCACCAGTGGGGCCCAGTGGGCACCTCAGGCACACACCAGCCAGCCTAGCCAGGAGGTGACAGGCAGGGGGGGTCCATGGGAGCAGGGCCTGGGTACACATGTCCCTGCACTGCTCCCAGCCCCAGACAGGCAATGGGTGCTGGCACCGTGTGGGCCCCGGCAGGCTCCAGGTGCTGATGGGCCTGCGGGAGCATCCTGCATCCCTGGCAGGGGAGGGTGGTGCTGGGTAACCCCTCCCCGGGGCTGGCAGAGTGGCTGGCTGGAGGGAAAGGGGGGCAGCCGATCCCCCCGTGCAGCAGCGGTGGTGGCCTCATTTCTTCAGCTGATGCTATTTTGGGCTAAGCTGGAAGCCAACGGCTCATGGGGGCGGTGAGATGCGAACCCGCCGCCCCTCCCCACCCCTCCGCTCCCGCAGCTGTCAGGTCACCTCGCAGCCGCTGGAGCGATGCACCGCCAGCTCCACGCCGCCGGCCGCCATGCAGGATCCCGCACACGCACACGTCCACAGCGGCCGCGCATGCAGCCAGCACGCTCGGGGCAGCGACGCCTGCCTGCCCAGGGCACAGGCAGAGCAGATGGGGACCCTCAGGGTCCCTCCCGCGGGGCTGGGGAGCAGCCGAGGGGCTCTCTGCCAAGCCTGGGGATGTGCCAGCCTCTCCGTGGGCATGGCAGTGGCCGGGGGGTCTCACCTTCAGGTCCGCAGGGAACTCTTCCTTCTTCACCAGCCCGGTGGCGGCCGCGATGTTGCCAGCGCCTGAGAACGCCGCTTCGCCCAGCTGGGATGCCTGCTCCTTTGCTTTCTCAGCCACTGCAAGAGCCGGGGGTGCCCATCAGTGCCCCCCCCCGTGCCAGGGAGGGGTGCCCAGCAGCAGCTCCATGCCCCGCACTGCTCGGGGGGGCTGGTGGGGAGTCACTGGGCAGGATCAGGCCCCCCCCTCCCTGCCCAGGCACTGGGGAGGGGAGGGGGCCAGGATGCTGCTCTGCAGCTGGGCAGGGAGTGTGAGCAGCCGCCGCAAATCCTTCTTCGTTGCGGGCCCTGTTATATAAGAGGCTTTAGCCGGGTGACATCAGCCCCTCAATTAGCCTCTGATCTCGTTAGTGCAGCCGCGCTCTCCGGGCCAGAGGGGTACCGCGGTGGGGAGCCAGAGGAGACCGTACCTGAGGTGACGCCTTGCACCACACCTTGGGTTTTACTCCCTGGGGGTAGAAAGAGACAGAGAAGGTGTTAGAGGGGCCAGTGGCCGGGCTCTGCTACGTGCCACGCCTGGGACCCTGGCAGGGCTCCGCAAGCCAGGGCAGCATCCTGCCTGCACCGCAGCCCAGCCATGCCAAGGCAGCCGGGGGACTGAGCACGCACCTGGCTCCCTGCAGGGCTCCTCCGGCCCCTGCAGGAGCCCAGGCTGGGGCAGCGCAGGGACACTGCCACGTGCCAGGCAGGGCAGAGACCCCGGGGCCCAGCGCCATGCCAGGGCACAGCCAGGCAGGGTGAACACCAGCTGTGCCGCTAAGCAAAGCCCCCTGCGGGAGCTGGGATGCATACCCAGAGCTGGTGCCAACACAGCACTGGAAGCCCCACAGCTGGAACAGCCCGGGGCTGGGTGCTGCCGCTGGCCATGCAGACCCTGCCGGGCTACCTTCAGGCAGAGCAACACCGCCTGCAGATGCCAGGACACCCCATGGGATAGGAGCAGCGTGTCTGCGACAGGGGGAAAGGCGGGAGCTGGGCAGCTCCTGCAGGATGGGGCCTCCGGGTGCTCCTTGAGCTGCTGGACCCCCATCCAGAGCACGCACCCCTGAGCAGGGTGGGGGTCCAGGGCAGGCACCCACCAACGCCCGAGGGAACAGCTCTGGGGCCTCAGCCCTCCCGCAGAGCTGATGCCCTCCAGAGCAGGATGGAGCCCCAGCCCTGCACCCTCCCTCCCGCTGCAGGCAGGGGCAGCCTCGGCTCCCTCCCCGAGCAGGCCAACACCACAGCCGGGCACAGAGCCTGCCTCCTCCCTGCCAGCGATGTCTTCTAGGACTTGGCCCCGAATGGACCCTGGCCCTGAGGGGCAGCGCAGAG